GAAGAGAGAAAATGGGAGAAGGGGCAGATGCACCTGCTGTGCAGGGGTCTCCATTGCTTGACCTCATTCACAAAGAGGCGGGTGCCCTTACTTCCTTCTTGACCCACACTTGATTTCATGTCAGTTCTGTAATATAAGGTGATTCTTGAGAAAAGATGAAATATAGCTGGAATGGCTGTCATTAAATCAATGGATTTTACAAATGAATTTTCAGACTTTTCCTCCCACCCTTCTGAGGTGTCTGTGTTCTCCTTCTGTGAAGACAACATAGCTTCTTCCCAGGGTTCAAATCCTAGCTCTGCTGCTAACTTGTGTCTTGGACAAAATTATTTACCCCCAAGAGCCCTGGTGCATAAAATTCGCGCGGGGGGGGGGGGGGTGGCCTCTCAGCCTGGCCTATACCCTCTCCAATCCGGGACCCCTCAGGGGATATCTGGCAGTTGGACATCCTTCTCGAAATCTGGGACTGCTGGCTCCTAACTGCTCGCCTGCCTGCCTGCCTGATTGCCCCTAACCGCTCCCCTGCCAGCCTGATTAACACCTAACTGCTCCCCTGCTGGCCCAATCATCCCCAACTGCCCTCCCCTGCCAGCCCAGTTGCCCCCAACTGCCCTCCCCTGCTGGCCTGTTCGCTCCCAACTGTCTTCCCCTGCTGGCCTGATTGCCCACAACTGCCCTCCCCTGCTGGCCATCTTGTGGTGGCCATCTTGTGACGACGTGGGGGCAGCCATCTTGTGACGACATGGGGGAGGCCATCTTGTGATGATGTGAGGGCATGACGGTCACCTAGGCTTTTATTAGTATAGATAGATAGCCTAAAAAATGCACCAAAGCTTATATTGATAGTAGAAGACCACTAGTGTGTGGCCAACAAAACATTAACTTCATTATCATAGGTGATAATCAGAATATCACTGTCTAGTAGGTGGGAAAGATTAGCAGGTACCGAAGTTAAATTTTTCATGTCTAATAGGGAAAGGGGTCTAGGGAGACAGATATTGTTTCCACTAGGAAACCATAAGGAAGATAATGGCAGTATAAAAATAATTTTATATACATTTAATCAATAACAATTAGGTGATATATGAACAAGGTTTGAGCAGCATCAATTTGTGAGTATACAGGCCTTGATGTCTTGGGATGGCTGTCTACTTCCTCTGTAGTCGGTGGCTTCTCATCCTTGAGATGAAGGCGCATGTCAGAGACAGGGGCAAATGTCCATTCATGGTTAGGTACCTGATAAGGTAAGGTCCCTTTAACACTGTTGGAGAGAGTCTTACATTAATGTATTTTCCAATGGACAAAAATCTCCAGGTTGTCATAGTCTTTGAATCTTTGTCTTCTGTGAAATGAATGTTACTAATTTGTTAGTTCCTACAATGCATCGGTTCTCAACCTGTGGGTTGCGACCCCTTTGGGGGTCAAACATCCCTTTCACAGGGGTCGCCTAAGACCATCACAAAACACATATATAATTACATATTGTTTTTGTGATTAATCACTATGCTTTAATTATGTTCAATTTGTAACAATGAAAATACATCCTGCATATGAGATATTTACATTACGATTCATAACAGTAGCAAAATTACAGTTATGAAGTAGCAACGAAAATAATTTTATGGTTGGGGGTCACTACAACATGAGGAACTGTATTAAAGGGTCGCGGCATTAAGAAGGTTGAGAACCACTGCTATAATGAGAATGTCTGCCTTTTAGTTTTCCTTATATTTGGGAAACAAAAGATTTAAAAATCAACAATATTTTAAACAGAGTCATAAGAATAATTATTCTCAATTCATTTAGTCCCGTAGTTATTTTTGTTTATCCTGATTATTTGCCAGTATATTTTTTTTCTTTTAGAAGACAAAAGTACTTGGACATTTTAATGAACTTCCCTCCATGTAGCTTGAAGCTACCAGGACATAGGCCCCACAACACCCTTAATCTTCTCCTCGGCTCTTCTGCTGAAGAACTTGGCCTTCACAATGACAGGCTGCTTTGGGAGCTTTCCCTTCCCCAGAACTTTGTAGTAGCCTGATCGCACCACATCAATGATAGGAGCAGCTCCAGTCTTGCTTTTGGCAGCATTTACCCGTGTCTGCTCACTGACCAGGGTCCACAGTTTATCAAGGTTGACCATTGGGCAGAAGCTCTGGTTCCTCTTTAAGTGGTAATGCCTCATACCAGCTTTCCCAAAGTAACCTGGGTGATATTTGTCAAAGTTGATCCTGTGATGATGCAAGCCACCAGCACTACCGCGCCCCCCCCCCCCCGGGTGCTTCCTGTGCTTGCCGATGTGGTTGTGTCCGTGGCTCATGTGGCCCCGAAGTTTTTGGGTCTTCCTCAGTCTGGATGGCATGTCGGTGGTCGAGTTGCAAGAGTTTGCCAGTATTTTTTTTTAACTCATTTATTCCTTAAAGTTCTATAAATCTTCATCCAGTTCAAAGATATGACCTGCTTAGAAGCTTGCAATTTAGAGTAAGTCAGAGTCCTCTTCATAGATTTTTCTAAAGAAACTAGAGGCCCGGGGCATGAAATTCATGCACAGGTAGGGTCCCTAGGCCTGGCCGGCGATCAGGGCCGATCTGTGGGGCGACTGGTAGGGCGATTGGGGCTCCCACTCGCACCCGCCTTGGGTGGCCTGGGGCTGCCTGCTCACCGTTCCCCGCCCCCCCCCCCCAG